GGGGGGGGGGGGGGGGGGGGCTCCGTGCCCCTCATAATCGCTCCTAATGTCAGGGTTTAGGGTTTAGGGTTTAATATACTTCTGCTGCACCTTACCCCAACAACCCATGCTCTCATGTTGTTCAAGGCTCCTAAGCATTGGCGGCCCCCTACTCTTCCCCCTACTCTTGCCCTAAACCCTTAAACCCTAAACCCCTAAACCCTAAACCCAACTTGAGGCGCCTACACTAGCAGCATCTGGACGCTGCTCAAGGGATCTTTCTGCACGGCGGAGAACGGCTGCTCCGTCTCCGTCCTTCGGAAGGTCGTGACCATCTACGCGCGCTACTTCAATCTCAAGGCAGGGCCTACGGTTTAGGGTCAGACAAGTTGCGACACTAAGTCAGCGAATCAGATCATGAGAAAAACCCTTGAAATAAGGCGCTGCTAACTTCAAGACGCCGCCAGGTCTTGGTAGACAATTCAGCGACGTCCTGCGTGAGATATGCTACAAATAAGACGGCTGCCAACTACACTGGTGGGCCATGCTTCAATGCTTCTGTGGATGTGCGGCTGCCATCCTGCACCGACGTGCGCTCGCGAATACTGGGCTCAATCCGTGAAGACCGCTTCCTTGATGTTCGCGTCTCTGGCACGCCGACACGGGAGTGCCTCTTTCTCTGGAGTCAGGTTTAAGCTATTTGTGAATTTATGGGCTCCGGTAAACAGGTTTCATAGACTGTACCTGTGGCTCCACTTGCCTATTGTTAGAGCCTACTATTTTTGTGGCGCTTGGGGATACATTTAATTAAGTATTGCTAAATTGGATGCTCGTTTAACTTCTGTTGCCCATTGTTTGGATACTGCCCCCACGCAGTAATATGCATGTATGTATGTATGTATATATATATATACACATATATATATATGTGTATATGTATATGTATATGTTTGTATGTTAATTAGACTGTTCCTTTATGGGGGCAGTACCCAGCCCATTCCGTTCCACAAATGTGGTGAAAAAAACGACAGATTAGCAGGCCGAAAACGGAGCCAAAGCCTTGGAAGCACGGTGTCTAAGTTAGGGTCCCTTTTTTGGCTTCCTTAAGGCGATCTGAAGGGGGTTTGCTATAGGGATCTGTAAGGGTGCCATAAGGGTTCTGTAGGGGTAGTTCTCTGAATTAGGGTCCTAAACCCTAAACCCTAAACCCTAAACCCTGAATTACGGTCCTTCTTAGAGGAACCCGCCAAAAGAAGGAGCCTGAAAGGCTTAAAGGGATCCTAGTTTGGAGAACTAC